GGAGCCCGATGCGGGGCTCGATCCCAGGACCCTGGGATCATGACCTGAGCCGAAGGCAGACGCTTAACGACTGAGCCACCCAGGCGCCCCGAAAATATCCTCATTTTTTAAAAAAAGAGACAACATAATCTGGTTTGTTTCAGGTCCAGTAGCATCAGTTTGAATTCTAGGCGCGCAACCAAAACCCAAAAGATGCACTTCCACCAGTTTACCAACTAGGAAAATTAGGTCCCATTACTGTGCTCCGTCGCTGCTCATCCTCTTCCCGCATAGTGAAGTTGTTGCTAGGCTACAAATTAACGGCGTTAGGAAATTGACCATTGATATTCCCGCCCTGCCTCCACTCCCCCAACCCTCCCCCCTCCGCCCCCCCGCCAGCAAAGCCTTGATACTATCTCTCACTTCCAAATCTTTAATCAGAACTAAATTGTTTTCTTCATTTACTCTCTCACCCTGGGGCCTTCTCCCTCTCTCTCCTTTCATTATCCTTCATCTTCCTCAGTTCACATTTTTCTTACCTGTTTTTCCTACTCATCTTGCTCAATCTCCTTGTATGGCTGAGTAATCAAATACTCATCTCACACTTCTTTCAAGAAATTCACAGTCCGTAATTAATAGGCTATTGATCATTCTCTCCAGTTGTGTAAGAATCAGTTGGGCTTGTCCCTTTTTTATTTTGTAAGTAGTAGAAGTGTTACAGGATTTTTGTCCCCTTAGTGCCTGAGGTCCTTGGTCATGCAGCTTCGAAGACAAAGACTGGTGGGCAGCAAAGAAAAGTTTATTGAGTAAGAGAAACCTCCCGGGGTGGGAGGGGGATGGGCCCTGAATGGGTTGCCCCCAGAGTTTCTAAGTTTAGGGGTTTTTGTGAGCTCTTTTGAGGAATTATCTTAAGCAATCAGGGTGTGCTGAGCTGTGCCAATTAGGGCTATGGTCAGGAAATCTGTCTATTAGGTTAATGTCTCTATGCTGATAGTCTTTTTTGATGTCTGGGGGCTTATGTCTTAACTATCCCTTGCCCGTGATGGGGACAAGTGCTTTGTGGTTAATTGTCTTATTTTAGGACGTTTTGCAGAAGTCATTTCTGCAAAGGCTGCAAAGCAAAATAGTGTAGTCCTGTCTAAGCTGCAGAACAGGATGTCAGTGCAATTTTATTTTAGCTGCCCTGACTCCATATTTTCTTGTTGGGGACCCTGACCACCTAACTCCTAACAGAATAAGAAGGGAAATGCTATAAATTCCTTAAAAGCCAGGACATTTTTTGTCCTACATACTGATGAATCCCCAGCTTCTTGGAGAGTAACTGACATGTAGTGTGCACACAGCAAACACCTATTTAACTGAATTTGGTCATGGTTCCATCTCTAGATGCTATAAACCTGAGACTAGAGGCAAAACATTGCAGAATGGGTAGGATTCAGAATAGGTGGTAGGGTGAATGCTATATTAAGGAGTTTGAATTGTATCCCATAAGCAGTTAGTTGATTCTCTCCTTCCTGCAGCCCAGGAGAGTTGGTCTGGCTCCCAGATACTGAGGTTTTCTTCCTCCCAGGAGAGATTGTGCTAATCAGAGGACAAGGAGAGCCAAAAACTGGCCCAATTCTTCCCTTGCTAGCTTTTCTTCTCCAGACTGCCCTTCCTTTCCCTTCAAGATTGTAGACCCAGCCTATAATCAAAAAGCAGCTGATAAATTCATAGCATTGTGAATCTTTCTGCTTACACTCCTTCAAACAACCTTAACTCTCAGAGAGTAGCACCCAGTCGACTTTATCTTATATAAATAGCATTTAGTCTCATCTCTGTATAGATTGGCTTAATTCCCAGCAGATGCGAGAGCAAAAACTGAAGTGAATTTGCCCTCCCTCCAGGCTTTTCTGGTAGCATTTTGTCTGTGAAACTAAGAGGCTATTGCAGCTATTACAAGAGGGAAGGAGGACGAGCTTAAAAAAAAAACAAAAAAAAAAAGAACAGTGGGCAGGGTATAGGATGTGGTTTTAAAATGGGGGAGGGAGGGGAGGGGGAGGGAATTGTTGCCTAGGGCGGGGACAGAGTTTGAGGTCACAAAATTCCGAGAGGTCACGGGATCCTTTGAGCTGGTGTGGGGTGGGGCTGGGGCGGTGGGTGGCTAGTCTCCCTTGCAGGCTCCACCCTTTGCAGAGATTATAAATGCGTGGCTGGAGCGCACTAACGGTGAGTGAGGGTGAGATGTGCATTGGTGCTGGGCATCGGGAATAAAACTTGTTGCCGAGAAGGACATTTTGGAGACTTTGTTGACTGGAAGAGGGGTCTCTGGGATTCCCACTCCTAGATCTTTGTTGAAGATTGGAAAAGAATTGAATTAGGGCCATGGGGACACAGAAGGTAAGACTAATACAATTACAGTTATTTTTGCTTGTTTGGGGTACACTCAGAAAGGCCGACATTAATGGAGATTGCTGCGCTCTGTTTTATTCTAAGTCATCTAGCCACCTTCAGGCCTTTTCATTTCTTCTCCAGCCTGTGATGCCATGGTTCCTCCAGTTTTCTTTGGATGTCACAGCCTGTAAAGGGCTTATCCTAGTCCCACTCACCTTCCTGTCACAGGGAGAGTCACCTGGAGAAGTTTTGTATGTTTCTCAGGGTTGTTGGTGGTTTTGTTTTGTTTTGTTTTTTAACATAATCACATGCTGCTGAGGATCTGGGGGTGAGATGGTTGAGTGTTCCAGGCTGCTTGGCTGTGTTGATTACAAGTGTGGGTCTCATGAGCCAGCAGGAAGATTCCTCTGGAAGCATTAAACCTTGAAAGGACCTGGGATTTGTTTGAGGGAATGGGCCAATGTCCAGCCATCTCTTCTATAACGTATACAAGTCTGTGGATACTAAGAGAGAATCCCAGTTGTACCAATTGTGGTTGTGATTGTGAATGCACGATACATTGTGTTACTGTATGTTACATATGCCGTATATTTGCTGGGAGAAAATCATTGTCACCAAGGTAAACTGACTTGAAAACGAAGGAAGGTAAGAGAAGGGATAAAAAAAACAGGGAGGAGAAAAAGGCCCTCAAGAATAGTAAATGATGAGGCGAGGCAGAAAGGAAGAGGTCATTACTGATGAGAAATGGATTAAACAGAAAGCTGTGTGCAGGCGGGGGCCACTCGGGTACTTAACGCCAGGTTGTCTGGGGTGGGAGGTCAACTTGGAGAACTGAAACTTCTGGCTGGCCAGTCCGTCTAACCTAAAAGGGGACGGAGTTTAAGGTAAGGAAGGATGTCCTCAGCCATAAAAATTGAGCTTACCTTGAGCTGGAAATCTAAGATAAACACACGCTTGAATTACTCCCAGCAAGGTGAGAGATGACTCCCTCCTCCCCACCACATCTCTGGTCTGTTAGGTTGGGCGTGAGCTTGTGCTCTCCCCCTGCTGGGTGGGGGTAGTGGTACAAAACAAAGTAAACGGGGACCAGGATACCCTGGGTAGATTTTGTAGTTTACATTATCCAGAGCGCTAAGAACAGCCCAGTGGTGAAAATACCACCACCACCACTCTGGGCTTCAGTGGGATCTGGGGTACAGGAGGAGACAGCACTGGATCTAGCTGTTTCCAAAAGAATCCATTTTTAGGAATCCCAAGGCTTTCTTTCCCTGCAGTTCTATGCTTGCTTTTTTTAATAGTTTGAAGCCAGTTAACCCAGTTCCTCTTAACTTTCTTCCCAAATTTTCTTGCCACTTTTCCCAAGTTTACGTGGTTGTCTGTATATCTCCGGAGAAGTTCTTCAGTATAACTTGTTCTTTTGTGTTCCCCCATTCGTTACCTAGATTTCGTTAAGTTTTTGTTCTTTTCATACCACTCATAGGCCAAGTGCTCCTAATATCTCTCCTTCATTAATAAGAGACAATCATCAGTCGAGAGCTTTAAGGACTGTTTCTTCCCTTCTCCCCCCTCAACCCCAGGTCACAGCGCCTCTGATCTTTGCCATCTCCATTGCTACAATAGGCTCTTTCCAGTTTGGCTACAACACCGGAGTCATCAATGCTCCTGAGATGGTGAGTGCCAGGTGACCAGAGTTAGAATTTGGAATAGGGAAATTATTCCTTTAAGTAGGGTTTCAAGAACGAAGAATTTCAGACAAACCTGGTATCTAGCTTGGTGAAGGCTGAAGAGGCAGAATAACATTGGTGGGGAAGTCTAACTGAATCATAAAAGTAAAAAGCTCAGTTGCTCCCCATACCCTTGACTGGACTGTATCCATTCTTCCCCTCACGCTATTGTGATACACTTCCTTTATTATCCCTCAGGGGTTAGTTACAAGGAGGGTGGGAGGGTCTTAGGGGAGGACTGGGGTAGGCACTGAACATCAGTGCTAACTACCTACTGGGATTTTCAGGACAAATCAAAATTGTTCTTTTCAGAGCTACCATGAACCTCCAATAGGTTCTCTATCTCTTCCATCCCCACCCATTCATTTACTTGATTCTCTACCAGTAATTGTAATGCTGTTTTCTTAGGGAGGGGAAGATCCCCGATATTTGCCCCTTCTCATTCAGCTGTAACAATCTGTCTGCCCACCAATCATTTTAATTGGCAGATCATAAAGGACTTTCTCAATTATACCCTGGAGGGGAGGTTGGAAGACCCTCCCAGTGAGGTGTTACTCACTTCGCTCTGGTCCTTGTCTGTGGCTATCTTCTCCGTTGGTGGTATGATTGGCTCCTTCTCCGTTGGACTCTTTGTCAACCGCTTTGGCAGGTATTGACCAGAAACTGGGCAAGGACGGGGGCTATACTGGTTGCATTGAGAACAGGTATTGAGAATTAGGACGGGGAGGTGATGATGCAATTGAATGAGAGCATCCCAAATTCCTGCAGAGGCAAATTTAGGCCAACTGGTACTGAATAGGGCTGCTTGGAGCTCGGCTGCCCATCAAGAGATTAGCCTTTGAGTCCAGCTGAAGCTAATTCAGTACTCTCTGTAATAAAGTGCACCATGGAATTTCCCAGAAACCTACTTGATTTACAAGGTCAGAAGTTGTTTGCTTTTCTTGAAAAATTTGGGATTTCATGCTTGTGTTTACAAATCAGGATTGGGAGGAAACATTTTATAATCCTTGGCCTGTGGCAAATGTGGATAATGGCCAAATAACTGACATTTTTGTCCCCCAAAAGAAAATTGAATCTTCTTATTCTTGCTGACTTAATAAAATGTCTTAGCAGAATACTTTCAGTAATGACTGGTGAAGAAACCATTTCATTTGCTAATTTAGACGTTCTGGAAACACAAATGAAATTCAACTTCTAAAAAAATTTAAAAGCAACCCATTTTATTTGATAATGTTTGGTGTTTGTTGTGTTTGCATTTTTGAAGCCACCTTGTGTCTACTAAAGTCATTGAAATTTTAATGTGGCCCTCCCATAATTCAATGACTTTCTTCCTATCTTTATTTTATTAGCAAAAGAACCTGATAGAGGAAGTAGGGAAACCGGGAAAGGAATGCAGAGAAAGGTAAAAGTGAGAATGAAGGATGAAATTTTTCTCTTAACAGCAGGTTCTCTCCTTTGGCTGCGCATTTAGGATCTCCCAGGGAGCTTTTAAAAGTACCAGCGTTTCACAAATAATACATTATATGTTAAAAAAGAAGAAGATAAAAGGAGGGGAAGAATAAAGGGGGGGAAATAGGAGGGGGAGATGAACCATGAGAGATGATGGACTCTTGAGAAACTGACGGTTCTAGAGGGGGAGGGGGGTGGGAGGATGGGTTAGCCTGGTGATGGGTATTAAAGAGGGCACGTTCTGCATGGAGCACTGGGTGTTATATGCAAATAATGAATCATGGAATACCACATCAAAAACTAATGATATAATGTACGGTGATTAACATAACATAATTAAAAAAAAAAAAGTACCAGCGTTTCAGAACTCCCCGGGTAATTCCAGCAGGCCACCCAAGGGCAGAGTCCCAGAAGTATCTTCCAAACATCTGCAGTAATTTTTCACTGTTAATCTCTTACTTCCGTCTTCCTCTAGTTGTTTCCGTGGCTTTGCCTCCCAAGTTTAACACATAGATGCAGTAATTTATTATTTTATACTGGCTATCAATACTTACTGTAAATGGCCTTCACCACAGGCTAGCCGAGAGCCGGAGAGCTGAAGCTGTCTACCTTTTTGGGCGTAGAAAACTTTTGTCTGAAATCTGTTCTCATTAGTATGTTGGTGCCATCTAAGCAACTATATTACAACAAAATGCAGTAAGAAGCATAAAAATTTCAGCACAGGTCCAGAAATTTCTCTTGAGTGTGTTCGTGGACCAGCTGTATGAGAATTGCCCAGGGCGGTGGTTCTCGGACCTTAGCTAGAATCAGATCACCCGGATGGCTTTTGGGAACAGATTGCTGGGCTCCGTCCCAAAGTCAAACCTAATGATTTAGTAAATTGGGGTGGGGTGGGACAATTTTAATTTCTTGCTGATTTCTAGCTGATGCTGTTAGTTTGTGGACAACTTTGAGAACTACTGGCCTTTGTGCTTGCTACAATCCTGGCTACCGCTGGGAATTAAAAGAATCTTAAACAAGTTCTCTAGGTGAGTTTTATGCCTACAGAGGTGTGAGAACCATTGATCTTACCCCAACTAGAAATGTTCTGATAACAGAAAGAGGAAAACTTAAAACCGGAAGAGTAGATAATACGAGCCTGGAGAAGGGTAGAGAGATAAGGAAAGAGAGAAGTTCCGGCCTGGCCTATTTTGCTAACTTCTCTTGTCTTTTAACCTTTTCAGGCGCAATTCAATGCTCATTGTCAACCTCTTGGCTGTCGCTGGTGGCTGCCTTATGGGGTTCTGCAAAATAGCCGAGTCAGTTGAAATGCTGATCCTGGGCCGGTTGGTTATTGGCCTCTTCTGCGGCCTCTGCACAGGTTTTGTGCCCATGTACATTGGAGAGGTCTCTCCCACTGACCTACGGGGGGCCTTTGGCACTCTCAACCAGCTGGGCATCGTCATCGGGATCCTGGTGGCTCAGGTACTCTAGAACTCATACTTAATTCTTGTTAGTTTCTTGGCTCAGTAAATAAGTTAACAACATAGATAAAGCTCTCAGGAATATCTGACGTATGTTCAACTATATGTAAGTTTCAGGTATTATTATTACTATAGCGCACAGGTGGCTAAAGAAGCAGGCAGGGTAGGGCGCCTGGGTGGCTCAGTCGTTAAGCGACTGCCTTCGGCTCAGGTCATGATCCCAGGGTCCTGGGATCAAGTCCCACATCGGGCTCCC